TGGTCGCATTCTTAGTTTATCATGTGAAGCTCCTTTTCGTTTCACGCGAGATTGATAAACTATAAACGAATGATAAGGAAACAGAAATGCTACGACTTGTTAATATATGTACGTCACATACGCATATGTAATGCGAACGTCATTCGTTCTTTGTAAGCATTAGAGAATTAGTATTAGTATACTTGCCAACATCCAGTTCGGTTGCGCGTGGATATTGAAAAATAGATAACAAGCATTGTGCAAGTATTAAATATAATGACATAATGATTATATGCATTTGTTATAATGAAGAAAATTATGTATAATTTAGAAGTCTCTATTGGAAAAATGCAATACCGAACGTTAGTTTCAATGTTACTGTTTAGATTGAGTTAGGCCGATTCGTTATTCTAGACCATTCTAATTTTTGTATAGGAGCTTACCCAACTAGGCTTACAATCCAATCTTGTTAAGCATAATCGTCATTGCATGGCTGCCTGCCCATTCCAAATTTTTGAAAGGAGACAGACATATTGGCGGTAAGCAAAATTTCATCTTCAGCTGGTTTAAAATAGTTTTTCTTTTTAGGAAATAACAACAACCCGACAATAATTATAGTAAACCATCGTCCAACTATTATTCAGTTGTTGAAACGTGTAATAAGGCACATAATAGAGAGAGTCATTATGTTGTACAGTAATATTTCTAAAGGCAAGTGAAGACTATTTATATTGTCATCATGTCTTAATTTAAATCTCAGACGTTGTTAAATTGTGACCATACTGTTGCTCATCCATTTATAACTACGTTTTAAAATGTCTGTCTGTACAATTAGCTTTTTGCTTAATGCAATATTTAGGTTTACGCTATTACGACGCCCTGCTATTAAATTTTATTGCCTTGACTATTGACTCCACAAATAAATGTTCTAAAATTAATTTTATATCTACTAATAAAGGCGTCTTTTTATGTGCCAAAATAACCACCCTAATGAAAGTAGGATGTAAGAGTTTTTATGAAACACTGACCAAAAAATATGGTATATTTGATTCTAACATTATTATTATTCATTAGCATTGAGAAAACTATAAAATTTGTTTATGCATATATAATATGGAAATTTATCGTTCTATATAAAGCAACACACAAGCAAATTGTTATGCTTATATCTTTAATAGATATAATCATGTTGGATACGTTGAAGCCTGAATCAATCTTTAAAACATCTTATTTATTCTATTCTATTCTTGTTTTATCTGCTTATTCGTTAGTATGATTAAATTTTGTGGTTGCAGCAAAAAAGTTTTATTACTATTTCTGCAAGTTTTCGAACAATAGATTAATATTTGTGATAAGTAAAAAAGTTAGAGCGTAATATCAATAGACAGTAACCCTAAAAATGGCATATTTTTGCAATTTATTAAAATTTGAAGATATTATCTAGACATTTTTATACAAATAAATGCCGTTATAAACAAGTAATGATTTTGCTTGTCTTTATACGCATACTACAACAAATAATTATCAAGTTACGTACCGAAAAGACAATATATTTGACGTATGTAATTAAAAGCTTACTTATTATAAACATTAGTCGAGAAGTGGGTTAAGCATAAAGTGTGCACATGTAGAGCGTGTGTAACACTGTGATAATAATTCAATATTTTGCATAAGTTTTTAACAATATTTTTAATTAAAACAATAACAGTATCGTAATAAAACAATGAGTAAAGGAAGACTGTACCGCTGATTTTAGAACAAACCCCAACATGCTGGCAGGGTTTTGATCTAACTTACGACAATACAACGACGGCTACAATGGAGAACCAAAATGGTAATTCATAAACTGTGTTGTAAATTACTATCGCGCATGGATTATTTATTTATGAAAAAGATATTATGTTAAATATGAATGGGCTTTGCTTGTGCTGAAAAATTGCTAGAGTACCGCCTGACAAAAGCACTTTGAATAAGTTATACAAACCAAGAGCAAATATGTGGTAAACACAATTCGTGACATGAAAGGATGTAAGATTGACGCTACTGCTTATATAAACAGTCGAAAAAAAAGCAATACGTCTAGTTGACAGGCAAACTAAAACATCATAATTATGTAATTATTTGGTATTCCATATAAGGTAGCAACTTCCAATTACGATAAATTAATCCCATCGTAATTATACTAATTGTCAACACAAAACATGGTCGCTTTGCTTGATGGCTATATAAAAGTTTATGATTTTCAATAGCGATGAATTACAAGCAACTCTGGTATCTTTTACGGTAATCAGATATAGAATTTATCCGAGAAGTTTAAGATTGTTGATCATCAGCATTTTATATCAGCATGGTAAAGATATTAATATGATTTCATTAGCCCAATGTTATTAATAAGATGTACTCGTAAAGTACTTTTTGTGCAGTAGTAATAGCTTGTTGTTATAATAATAATTAACACTAAAACTTTACTGGTGTATGAAGATCCGATTCTGATTCGAAATTGCCAGGGTATCAAAAAAGCGGTTTTTCAGGCCCCGTACCATTTTCAAAGAAACCATTGGTAATCTCCACTAATGTTTTTTCATTTGTACTATTATCGGCAATTTTTGAAGTTTGCTAAACATTAATTAATTCATATTTTCGGGTTACAATAATCGGCGGTTTGTTGTTGTTGGTGTTAGTATTATTATTGTTGTTGTTGTTATTGCTATTATCAATTAACTTAATAATTAAAACTTGAATTAGAACACGTTTTTGTCATGGTTTCTAACCGTTTCACACTAACATCTTTTTTTTTCCCGAAAAATTAGTTGGACGACATAACATCGGCCAAAACTTTGACTTTGCTGAACCCATCTTGTGTGTTGCAAACATGCTCTCCATATCTTGCATTTCCTATAGTGTCGGTTGCACGCTAACGGCACACCTTTTGAATATTAATAGTAATATCCTATTTTTGAATAATGCTTTTACTATATAATTAGGAGATTGTCCCGACTAAACAATAAATAGCAGTTCGGTATTGTAAAAAAAGTATGTATTTTATAATGCCCAAATAAAGACATATTACCAACAACGTAAATGACCACAGCAATGCCCATTCCGATAATAATAAACACCACACTTGTTTTCGCCAAGTGCCGGCTGTCCACAGTCAGGGGGAGGTTTATCCCATCTCATATCCTTTCCAAGCGGGTAGCATTGACCCACAAACCAGAATGTCCCTTGTCATCCAATTGATTGAACTCGATACGTTTTCGTAAAATTAGTCATTTGTGATTTGATTTGCTACCAGTAACACATGCGAGTTGATTGGACGGTTGAATTAAGTGCGATGCTAACAGGTTGCGAGCGAAAAAAGCTTTTTTTTTTCTTGTCAGCTGATGCAGAAAAGATCGGCTGACACTGTGTTTGAGAGGGGAGGGGGGAACAATGTTTGTTTGGGTGTTGACGTTCTCTGTAATTTCCATTGTTCCAGTTTATGTAAGTGAGTGGATTTGCAAAAACCTTGCAGGTTTTATGAAACAGTTAAGGTTTGCGAATGCGTTGATGAATGTTTGCCTTATACCTGATGATAGTTTTCCAGTCTCTGGATTATCTTCGTTGGATCATCTCTTCGAATCGGTTCTATATTGTTCCATAATCTAGCTACACAAACTGTATTCAATGACATCAGGATATTCTTTCACGCCAAGACTATTTGATCTAGAATTTATATAGATATTAATAATACCACAAACACTAAGCACAGATATTAATACGAAGATGCACACAAGATGCAGATGCATTCAAGCCATTACCAGCAATAAGCCCAACAAGAAGAAAAAGACGGGTGGGTATTTTCACTAGTATGGTCGCAGCCCATGTTTAAAGTTTCTTGTTGATGTAACTGCTTATGGATGCAATAATTATCCTACCAACAATTACAACACGCTACTCTTGTAAATATTTGTGCTATAATTATGTAATGTACTAATTATATATTCCTTCCTCATGAGATATGTATGTATCCTCATTTGTTTAAATCACCTGTTTATTGGTGTGATGACTATTTTAAGAGCATGAATTGCGTCGTTTCCAATTTAGGACTTTGTCTCGAGTCCAAGTGTGTGGCCAATCATTACCTACCGTGTTAGCTATTTATACTCAAACCCCGGAATGACGAGAAATCTCACCTTTTTCTCAGAGTTACAAAAGAAAGAGCAAGCGAACCGTCCCCCCTTTCAAAGAAGGAAAGGAAAAAAAACAACGAAAGAGAAAACAATATTGTAACAAATAAGAAGAAATAGATATTATAATTGGACTATATTTAATGAGAAAAGGAATATATATATTGGCAACACGTTACGCTAAAATTACCAAAGCATAAATATTTTATTCCATTTTAGAGTTACACTTAAATTCAATATACTTGTGACTCGGTGAGTGATTGTGTGTACTTTAATAATCCTTCTTCCCGACTTTTTTCGCGATTCCTTTTCAGCTGGTCGAAATATAGAGGACTGGGTTCCCAAAAACCCTTCTTCCCCCTTTTCTCCCTAATTCCCCACCCCCCTCTCCAAACTTTCTACTCTCGTTTCAAATTTCCATTCCCTTCCTTCACCCTCGTCTTCCTACCTTTATATAAAATACACAATACAACAAGACAATAATATCAAATCCATCAAAGGCAATTCAACTAAATTACATGCTTAAATAATAGAGGGTATTGTCAAATATAAACGAGACTATCATTTAATTAGACCTCGCAACTGATTTTCTTGGCACTAACGCTTTCACGCTCTTTTTACTCACACAGGTGTACTCTGACCATATGTTCGATAGCCTAAAACTTTTCACATAACAAGTTTCCATATACGAGAACCATAAATCTCTCCTCCTTTCCCGTTCTCGTCCTTTACTTTTTACTCGCAACTATTCCACCGACTCGAGATCTATTATTTTCCCTCCCCATTTTCACTTTAATATAATCTTATCCCATTTCCCTTTCTCTCTTCCTCCACCCCCACCACCTAGTATAAATGTCCGCAGACCCATATAGGCGGTCAGCTGTACCGATTCGAAACTCTGTCTTCAATCCCGCTACCCCATCTCGCCCTCGTCCCACACCTTCAGTCTCCTTCACTCAAAATTCAAATCGTTCTACAGACGACAATAATGTTAATAGTAGTAATGTCCAGTCAGGCTTTAGTCTTCGCCGTCAGAAATCTCTCATCCGGCCTGATCGTGAACGCATAGACTCAAACCATCCTTACTATCACTATTATGCACATGCAAGTGAACTTGCAGAAGATAGAATAGCAAACAGCCAGACAGGGAATACCCCCCGAAGAGGGAAGAGCGTGTCCGAGAGGGAAAGGCCAAAGAGCATAAAAAAAAAGCAACACCAGGGCGCAGTTCCCAGGAAGAAGAAGCCACAACGATTACCATCTTGCTGGATAATATTTTGTTATATTGTTACCTTTTATGCACCGAGTTTTCTACTTAGTACTTGCGGTAAGTGCGTGTGAACATGAATTAGTCCATTTCATAGATAGTGCAAACGAAAGGGCTTTACATCAAATATGGTTAAAATTTTTACTACGCCGCAATTACGTGATCTCATCTAACCGTAACCCCCCCCATTTACAAAGGTCGAATGAAATTACCCGAAGTCCAGCGCGCCTGGAGAGAAAAAATGGGTCTTATAACAATAATTCTGTTGATTTGCGGTGCAGTTGGTTTTATAACTTTTGGCTTTACCCAAACAGTCTGTCGCTCACCCCCCGCCCGTATCAATGGTGGCGAGGCAACCTCAGGAACCGTCATAGTTAATGGATTTGCCATTAATTTCGATGACTTGGATTTCCAACATCCTGGTTTCAATGGGTACCAACCTTCCAATCCTGCATATCCTCCCATAGATGCTGGTGGAAAAGACGCGTCTTTTCTGTTTCAGAAAGCGAATTACAACTGTAGAGGACTAATTAGTCCTGCATCAGGAGGGAATTACTTTCAGCAGAATGATTTGCTCGGATGGTACTTCCCCTGTGTCATCATCGGACAGAATTCTGTACAGACTACAGTAACAAAAAATTTTACCGTCGACGCATGTCACGCCAACCTGGATATTAAGGCCCAACTGGCTGACCTTATAAAGAATTCAGCTGCAGAAATATTCTATACGTGGGAAGATATAGCTGATCCGGACAGGAATTTGGCTGTTTATAACGGGTAAGTTTTATAGAAATACTCGCGTAACGTCATTGCAATAGACATATCCCTAATCCTTTGACTCGAATAATAATTTTGGGAAACAGTTTTATCTTGGACTTTAATAAATTAAAATGGCTCGACCTATCTCAAGTCAACATTCCACAAACTTTTCTAACGCTCATGAACCCAGACAACGAGTATCGCGGCAAAGACGCATCCCTTGTCTTTGCTAGCAAGGGAGAAAAACATATCGCCGATTGTCTAGTCGACATTGTCCGTGTTGGATCAATCGACTCGAAAACGATGGGCTGTATTGCGTCTGATTTAGTTCTCGTGGTTTCTTTGATCTTCATTGTTGGCGTAGTATTGATCAAGTTCATTCTCGCCGTAATTTTCGGATGGTGTATTTCGTGGCGATTGGGTTCGTTCAAACCAGAGACTTACGAAGAGCGGATGAAAAGGGCGGCCGAGATCGAGAAGTGGTCAGAAAACATTCTCAAACCTGCTCCCCAGTTGAAGAAACAGAGAAACAGTTTTTTGCCAGCAACCTCGAGATTTTCCAATGCTAATTTTGGAAGAACTGGTAATGGACAGGCAGGCGCCCATCAGTACGGCTCGTACACAAATCGTAGGTCGCAATATCTGAGACCGTCATCTTCTACGACTTCGTTAACGCAGGGGGCTCCATCTACTGCAAAGAGTTCTCCGACGAATTCTCCCCGACTCTTACCAATTTCAGGTTCTGGTAATTCTAGTGGTCCCAGTAGTCCCGGTCTGCCTCCTTCGCGTTCCCATTCAGATTTAAACACGATAGCGCTGCCAGAATTGGCGTCAGTCAGCAAACACGGAAGTACAACTTCACTAGCTCTACCGAAAGGATATGAAGCAATTTCAACCGATAGTATCGATTTACATTCAAACGCCAATACGGTTCTACCAGACGCTGGTTATCAACCGTTCAATTTTGAGCTGGCTCAGACCATTTGCCTAGTGACTGCATACTCTGAATCGGTCGAAGGACTCCGCACCACTCTTGATTCCATTGCTACAACAGACTATCCAAATACTCATAAACTTATACTCGTCATTGCCGATGGTATAATTCGTGGTTCTGGTAACGAATTATCCACGCCTGAAATTTGTCTGTCGATGATGAAGGATTTCGTAATCCCCAAGAATAAGGTCGAAGCACATTCGTATTTAGCTATTGCAGATGGAACTAAAAGGCATAACATGGCCAAAGTATATGCTGGATTCTATAAATATGACAAGACAACAGTGGATCCTTCCAAGCATCAACCAGTGCCGATTGTGACCATTGTCAAATGCGGTCCACCCGAGGAAGCGAGTGCACCAAAACCAGGAAATAGAGGAAAGAGAGATTCGCAGCTCATTTTAATGTCGTTCTTGCAAAAGGTTATGTTTGACGAGCGTATGACACCGTTAGAATATGAACTTTTTAATGCTATTTGGAGAGTGACAGGAGCCACTCCCGATAAATATGAACTTGTGCTTATGGTACGTGAGAGAAAAAAAAAAGCGGGACCATTTATTAGTAAATGAGAAATTGGTATCCACGGCTACAAAACTATTGGAGGCGTTTATGATTATGCTGACCCCTCGTCATTTTAAATATAGGTTGACGCAGATACAAAAGTTTATCCTGATTCTTTGACGCGAATGATTTCTTGCATGGTTCAGGATCATGAAATTATGGGATTATGTGGTGAGACCAAAATTGCCAACAAGGCTCATAGTTTTTGGACAATGATTCAAGGTAAGACATTGTTTAACGGGGAAAAGAAAAAGTGAAATCTGCTTAGATAAATCACTGTTTATAGAATTCACAGTACTCACACGTTTTTACTCTTTATTACTCTTCTTCCTCTCAATGTTCGTTTTCAACCAGTTTTCGAGTACTACATCTCTCATCATTCAAGCAAAGCTTTCGAATCCGTCTTTGGTGGTGTGACCTGTCTCCCTGGTTGTTTCTGTATGTATCGCATAAAAACGCCAAAAGGCCCTGAGGGCTATTGGGTTCCCATTCTTGCCAATCCCGACATTGTCGAGCGCTATTCCGAAAACATTGTTGATACACTACACAAAAAGAATCTTCTCCTTCTCGGCGAAGATCGTTACCTTTCTACACTCATGTTACGAACTTTCCCAAAGCGTAAGATGTTGTTTGTTCCACAGGCTGTATGCAAGACAGTTGTACCTGACACGTTCTCAGTGCTGCTATCACAAAGGAGAAGATGGATTAATTCGACAGTGCATAATTTAATGGAGCTAGTCTTGGTCAGAGATCTATGCGGGACATTCTGTTTCTCGATGCAATTCGTAATATTTATGGAATTAATTGGAACTGTTGTGTTACCGGCTGCTATTTCATTCACCATATATTTAATAGTAATCTCATTCATCATCCGACCAATACCGTTTATTCCTCTCTTACTGCTTGCGACTATTCTTGGTCTGCCAGCGGTTCTCATTTTGATGACATCACGGAAAATAGTTTATGTTGGATGGATGTTGATTTACCTTTTTGCATTACCAATATGGAACTTTGTTCTCCCAGTATATGCTTATTGGCACTTTGACGACTTTTCATGGGGTCAGACGCGTCAAGTAGCGGGAGAGAAGAGCGGTCGTGATGACCATGGAAAGAAAGGAGAATTTGATAGTTCGAGATTGGTTATGAAGAGATGGGCAGATTTCGAACGAGAGCGACGATATCGAGAAGCAATAGCCGAAGGACTTCCACCACCAGTATTTATAGATGATAACCATAAACTCAGATATAGTGTGGCTGAATCGTTGGATAGTGAAAACTCTTCACGGACATTTGAGAGTTTAGCACCATTGACCAAGAAAGTCAGTATGGGTCGTTTTTCTACGCCTCCGGGTGGCGGGAATTATACAGAACATGGCCCTCCGCTTCCTAAGGGCGACTTGGAGCGGCAAGAGTCGGCGAATTTCCAGCAAACATATTATAAGGACCAAGCATGGAAACAAGTACAAGTAACCAGTGAAAATGATATAGAACTCACAGACATGTCTTCGACGGTATCAAATTCACCAACGGGCTATCAACAAGATCGAGATCTTGCAACAGACGTGCCAGAGCACAGTTCGGATCCCGCCATCGATTCAAATCCTGACTCAACTGTACAGCAATCATCGGATAGGGTCGAAGAAACCGACTCATCCCAAATTACTGAATATAGAGCTCAGAATCTGTCCACTCCATCTTCTTCCGATAGAATATCTGTATACGATGATTTCTATAACAAGTCTCCGCCCGCTCACAACAGACGCGACGCCGCTGGACGTGGATCTCCTGATTCAATAGCGCTTGCTCGTGGCGTAACTCGGCAGACGTCTCGGGAGTCAGTTCATCAACAGGAAATGACACAAGATCAGATGTCAATGTCGATGCTTCCATCTCAACCTCTGAAAGAAGAAGAAGAATCCGAGAATGTACAGGTTATGTCACCAAAACGCTATTACAACAACTATAAACAATTACGTAAGGACAATAGCAATAGCAGTTCCGATCAGTCATAAAATTGTATTATTATTTTAGTTGTCGTTGTTAATTATATTCGTACATTTTAATTAGAAATTGGCACTAAACTGTAAGTTAAATAGGTGTACTTATTATGCCACATATTGGTATGTGTTGGGATACCTACAACTTGGGGGAATCTGGCTGGAGAATCAATTCTGAGCATCGAAACCACATCATATAGAAACGAAGCATTGTAAAAATCATTTATTCATTCGAACTCATTAAAAAAAATTTTATTTTAATGGGAAACTCGTACAGTGTATAGTGTATGTGCTGCATATCTATTTATGAATAATCCGAGACATCTTGTGTATATTGGCTTAGAAATTATGTCACTGAGTTACATACTAAGCTCACGTTATGCCTACGAATTTCTTCCCTCGCAGATCCACCAAAAAAATAGTCCATCTTGGGTATAAAATAAACATATTCACACTAACAAATACATAGCATTCGATAATAATCCAATTCTAATATAAAAATGAAAGACTGAACGTTATACACATCCCGTTTACTCCTTTAGCGTACCGATTACAGTATCAGGTGCATACTTCTCAATTACGTTCTAAAAAAGCGAAAAAGATAAACCATAATTAGCAAATAATCATAAGCGAATAGGGATAAAGCTTTCATCGTTTAGATAAGACTACATTTTTACACACCCTATTATGAAGCATTAAAAACTCTTCGGTAGCATCTCTACCGGCATACAAAAGAATAGCCTTCTTGCCACCAGGATGGTCAGGAAGGAATTTGGTCACGTCTAATACTTTGCCCTCAATAATAACCCAACAATCTTCTTCCTTATTATGTTTTGCGACCTCATCTGCAGTATACGAACCTAACTTCTTCTCGGGTGGTGCGACAGCTTCAGCGGAAGCAGGTTGAGATGCAGACGGGGTCGTTGCAGCTGCTTGTTGTGAAGAAGCGCTAGCAGCAGCCGGGGCACTACCGTCTTGATTCCAAGAAATCTCCAGTGATACCTTTTGAGCTACAGGGTCAACAGATACTTTGGTTTCGTACTTATTTAGCTGTCCGGCTATTTGACCAAGACGACGATTGGCAGTTGCGGCTGAGAGTTGTTGAAGAAGATAGCGAGAAGCACTGTCTCCGGCAACACGTCCGTAAACAACGCATCCAAGAAGAGATGAACCTCCAAGACGATTAGCTCCATGCACACCTCCAGCAAGTTCGCCTGTTGCAAAAACACCAGGAATTGTCTTGTTGTCTACAGATTGAATTTCGGCACTTGGGTTAATTTCAATACCGCCCTATGTATTACGGATGAGAGTGGTATTTAGTGGGTGGAAGCAACTCGATAAAAAAATTTGATAGATAAGCTCGTATACAAGGTATCTTTCTCTTACCATAGTATAATGGAGTACAGGGCTCATTAATGCAACATGGAATACATCGTCAAATACAAGCGGTACATTGTGGAAAAACTTCTTTCCATAAGGATCCTTCTTCTTTCCAGTAGCAATATCATTATAATCCGCAAACGTAGCCTTCAAAGCTTCGGGACTAACTTTAAGCTCCTTAGCCAATGCATCACCACCCTTGACTTGCTTCATCAACCCACGACCGACATAATGTTTGCAATGCCACTCGATTTCTTTTGATGCTTTACCGTTAAGAACTAAATGCACTGGTCCCTTTGTTTTCCAGATCTCTCCAGTGACATAATCTCTGTGACCCAATTCATCACAAAAGCGTTTCCCTTCACCGTTAATAAGTAAGCCACCGACTCCACGAAGAGCTTCGGCAGCGAGAAACTTGACCTTCGCGTTAGGATCTTTGGGATCGACAAGTCCTGTCGGGTGCACTTGAACCTTCTCAAAATCAATGCCTTTACCTCCGATAGCAAGGACCATCTTGTGCCCGTCTCCTGTACAATGGTCACCGTTGGTTGTTGGGAGGTGAAAGATGTCGGGACGGTATTTCTTCAAAAGTGAATTCTCTGTAAAGTCAGCTGCGTAACCTCCAGTAGCCAAAATAACTGGACCGTATTCTTGGGACACCTTTCCATCTTTCTCATATTCTACTCCCACGACAGCATCGCCTTCTTTGAGCAATCTCGTTGCACGAGCCTTCATATATATCTTGACTCTATCGGGATGCACTTTAGCAAAGTCTTCTAACCCCTCCATAAGCGCGTACGTGATTGTCATTCCCGGAAACATTTCCTTTCCGCGGTGAGTACGCGGTTGAGAATGCCCACCAAGTCGAGAAACGAGGGAAAGATCGAGCTTAAATTTGTCTTGTAGCCATTCTACGGCTGATGCCGAGTTTCCCGTGAGGACTTTAATGAGTTCTGGACGGGCTAGATCACGGGCTGAACGTGTTGTGTCAGCAGCAAATATATCGGCGGAGTCTTTGATACCGAGAGCTGGAATGAGATACGGTAGAGGAAGAGAAGTGGTAAGAGTTGATCGGATTGGTAAAGGGAGATAAATAAGGCGTAGGGTGAGAAAAAAGTAAAAGTGTGATGATGGAGATGGGATAGTCGAATGGTCAGTATATTAGCTGTTACACTTGATTCTTGCACTTTTGTTTGTTTCTGACTTTATCATAGGGATCAGAGAAATTTCATGGTTCAAGGATCAATTGGTCATAATTGGCTTGACTCTTGAATGCGGTCATTACCCACATGACCAATATTCATTAAAGTCGACAGACTCTAGTTATAACCACTCTTATAACTATTTTGCGTCTACTTGTTTTCCATGATTATTTTTGTCATAACCACTCTTTTAACTATTTTTACACCTATTATATGGGCCACTGTATAACCACTCTTGTAACCATTTTTATAAACGCTCTTTTATCTTATCAATGCCTTCTCATTTATTAATTCTTCTCGATTAACCATACTAATACTCAAGTACTTCCAAAAGCCATTCATATCAATATACCCACTAGCATCTGCTCATACGCCCTGTACGTACCTATTTGTGTCTTAGTCAAAGCACCATTGATACCCGAAGTGGCCTTTGTCGAGTTTCCGCCAAAGAATGAATTCTTATCGATCACAACGACGTTCCCTCCGTGCTCTAGAACAGTATGAGCAGCCGATAATCCAGATAGCCCACCACCAACAACAATAACTTGAGCAGCCATATTTACTTGATAAATTTAGTCTTGTCGTATACAAACACGTTAGTATCTACAACGGAGGGAAGAGGAAGTGGAGGATGAAAAAAAAAGTGGGCGTAGATGAGCTCGTAGATGAAAACCCGATCAATCTATATTCAGATTTGACATCGGATGTTTGCGTGTTAGCAAATCGCATGCGGAAGTGCTTACTATTGGTTAATCTATTGTGTTACTGGTTCATATGATTAACAACAAGTCTCATTGGCCAATTTGATATATGGGGGGTATGGCAAAGTAAGTTTTTTGCAGGTGTCTGCATTAACATGACAATAATAATAATTATGTTCAGAGCTATTTTAGTTTATCTGAGTAAAATGAGACAGACTGCAACGTTTGATCATGTGAGCTAAAATGGCTGCTGATACTAATGGCCGTAATCATACCGCTTTAGTAGTTGATCACGTCTTTTAGACTTTATTTCGTTATATCTTTTTCGAATATCCCTCACTCACCTGTTCTCGATCTTGCAGATGATTTCCGCTTTAGACATATGAGCTGCTATTATAAAAGACTTCAATAATAATTCTTGTCGAGCTTTTTCGCCAATTTGGTAAAATTTATCGGTTGTGCACTTAATTCATATTCATCGCCTAAGCTTTTACAAATAACTCTCGAGCCCATCGGGTTAAGGAAATTGCCCTTTCTTATGCACGCTCAAAATTTCTGCCATTCTGCAACCATCTTTGGCTGAATCCTTGGGCCGACCGTTTGCGAATCATTATATTCAATCGATTTGAAGAAACTGTCACGCAACAAAGGTTTTCAACGAACATAATAGTATATAAGGGCATAATTAAATCTTTTTACATTGAATGGACAACTGGTTCTTGCAATTATGTGCAGCCATTTGCCAATGTCGTATTTGTGGAACACTGTTTTTGAGGCCTGCAATGGAATCAGCATAGTTTTCAAGAAAATTTTCCATGGCAGTAGCAACTGTTATTATTATACCAATGGTTATTTTAGTTTTCCATCGCAGCATTCGTTTGATATTACCATGAATGCGCAGCATTATTATTGTACCATTTGTTGCTAGGTGATTTCTGACATTTTCGAAGCGTGACCCATTCCCAACATATTGAGATACGTTTTCTGATTGCAATCTTAATAATAAAAAGTTCTTTCATTAGTACGCGTTTCTTTTTAAGGCATTGACTGATGGCTAGTTCTCCACCATTCATTGCTTGCAGCTGGGCCATTAAAAATATATCTTGCTCAGTTCTATATCTAGAGAGAGCTTGAAACATCTTGCATAATTTGGCAAACCTTTCTCTCAAAATTTTTTTGAGCAATTGCAATTGCAACCTACCTCCAAGAAACGAACGGCGTTTTCGTATGCAGTGGGATTATTACATTCACTATTTTCATATATGGTTAATTCTATATATAAATTTTACAAATTTACTATATCAACTTCTTGAGAAGTTTACCAACAGCCAAGTTTCAGATATTCAGATGCCCACGAGTGAAATTCGCGTTGTCTTTCACTTTCATATCTTCCATGCGCTCGACTAATTTAATTCCTGATGCACAGTCTTCGTTTGTAACTATGGCCTTGGCACAGTTTTCCTGAAAACGTGCAAAAGTCGAGTGATATAAAGTGATAGAAATGTCTGGATCGTGAGGTCTATGATTACAAATATAAAGATCATCTAGAACCTTCAAATTTCTTTTGGTTTACTGAAAGATGAAGGCGTTTTTAATACGTTTAGTCTTCTGTTCATTTTCTGCATAAGTATACTCTTCGATTTTGCGTTTGGTGACTGGAGCTAGAAAGACCAAGACACAAGTTAATTATCGGATATGCAGTATGAGCCTCACAAGAAATTAATTCAGCTCCAGCTACGTACACACTACTCTATGTCCCCAGCGCCTGCAGAATCTTGTTGGAGGCGGAGCTTCTCTACTTCCAACTTTTGCAGCTCGAGCTCCAATAGACGATTAAGGTTTTCTTGAATTTGTAAGTCTTGGGGAAGTTTTTGAAGTCTTCCATGGTAGTTTGTTTGCGATGTGATCTAATATATCAACGCTGATCAGTGATTTTAATCAATGCCGTATGATTAGGAACTTTTTCACAATGTAATTACTGTATTGTTCCCTGCATGCAGAATGTGACCAATGATAATCAATGAGCAAAAATTCGCGTTTGTCTAATGATCATCCGCAATGTATGATGAACAAACGAATATTTATATAAACAGCACCGGCCGGTTAACTTACTTCAAAAATTACAACGCAATAAATATCGTTGAACCAATACATCGTTAAAACAAATCTGTCAACAACACTACAAAAAATGCTTACATTCACAAGCGAATTCTTTTTCGGAGTATTTATCGGCTTTGTTCTCGGCCTGTTGATAAATGGCATAATTTTTAACAGTCAACTCCACAACATGGGCCTACTGACCAAGATTATAAAGTTCAAAAACGAAGCCATTGTAAGCAGCCGATTTCGCTGTTTACTACGGAATTATTTGATTGGTCAAAAATTTCACCCCGAGTATTTTGGATCGGGTGACAAATTGGTGAAACACACGTATTTTATGACTCTTTGGTATAATAATAACTTAGATTTGAACACCAACTTGATCACTTGATTATAGATAATGAGAAGACATCTGAAGGTTTTCGTAAATTGTCCTGAGTTACTTTTGATTGGAGGTGCGAGCAGATGGGAAATGGAATACAGCAGCGACAAGTTTGAATAGTGATATAAAATTCAATATAAACAACTCTTTCTCCAGGCAGAAAAAAAGTTGATTACTGCTGAAAGGTAAAAATGGAAGCGAAACTACTTCCCTGGAGTGGCTTCATCTTTTGTAATAAAAATATTATATCCGTTATTTATTATTGAAATTATCGAAATTATTATCATTGCTATCATTGTTTTTGTTTTTTATTTTCGATACCGATACTTCGATGTAAGAAAAACCCTAGTGATTAATAAGCACGTTGCCTTTGGCGTAATCTCTTGTCAACTAATAAGCAGGGCATGAGAAGTATTCGGCTATAATTATTATTATACTCTGAATTGACACTTTGATGTAAGCTCTTCGCCGACTAATAACAAGTTGCCTTTGGCGTAATCTAATAAGGGAAGCATGAGAAGTGTTCAGTTTAGAAAGACTGCGATTATAAGACCTCATGTTTAGTACAAAAAAGGCGTTCGTAGTATAGACAATGTATAACACCGAGAGTTTAATATACTCGTTTGAAGGTTGATACTCGTTTGATCCAATAAAATTATTGTAAATTTATTATCGTTGCGAAACTATTGTAAATTTATTATTATTTTTGTTTAAGTTAAAATATTATTTCGTTAAAGAGGGGAAAACCTATGCCAAAATGTTAGTGGAGTATCGGAACCATAGAGTGCGATAGAGACAAGAAGCGAGCATTATGGTGGAAAGAGAAATATTAATGTGACGGCAGAAAATAACTTTCACTAACGACATAATATTCACAAAATAATATATAACGAATATTAATATTTTATGTGAGAACGGCATTTCTTCGTCCGTTAGTATTCTGGTGGTGGAGCGGCTCTTGTCCCGAACCTTGACTGTGCGCATTCCTCTGATGTACTTGACTTTCGGTGATATATTATTCGTCTTCGTCCGTATGATAAAACGGTGATGTTATTATTATTAAATATATATTAATAAATTAATAGGCCATTAAGAGTAGCGATTAAATTAGAAACGTTGTAATTCTTATTAAAATAGTTTATATTTATAAATATTACAAATAGTATAGAAAAGCCGATGGAGAATATATCCCTTGCCTCATATATATTCGAAATTTAAACCCATTGTAAGTCTGCGACAAGTGTACTACGAAAGATAAATTATAATAGTCAACATAATTATTCGTCTAGCAATAGTGAAATCACTCATATAGAAAAAGAATTATTCTCTAAATGGATAATTAGCGATATTAGAGAATAGATATTTGAATAAAGTTGGCTAAGTCGGTGGTCTCATCACTAAGCATCGACACTACGGAGCCCTATTGTCACGGTGAGGGGACGCGAAGAAAACCGGTGACAGCCATCAGCGAACAAATTTATTCACCAGATATCAAAAAGTTGTGGAACAATTTGAGACAATTATTATTATACGTAGAAAAACTGATCAAACCCCAAATTTTTATTTAACAAAATAGCATTCGAAATTTATAAATTACTTGAAGAAAAGCTGTTGCAGCTTTCACCATACAAAATTTTTATTTTCGAAGAACAACCCGACTATTGAGGTAATTCAACGTTAGATTGATGGAGAAATAGTAGATGATAAGCATAATTTTGCGCCACTGACGGGCCGTCCAATTAGAGTCAAGGCTGATGAGAAAAATTAAAATTCATGTAACTGCCCATAAGTACTTTCCTTCTATAACTATCTTTTATTAAAAAACATTGACATGGACGCAATGAAGACAGATTACTCACTAAAACTCATTGCTCAAAGACTGTACTGAAGATCAGAGCAACACAACAAGCCTGCAAGATTATTACAGAAAAAAATATGAATCCTGCTGACTGGGTTTCATTATCATGTAGAAAATCCAGATAGCTGACAGATGGCAGAATTCTGGGATGATGTGAAGAAAGACATGAACGAAGTTGCAACTGACATGGAGAAAGATGAAGCAAGATCCAACAGCACACAAGGATGCCACACATACAGATTTTTTGACACAATGTTTGCAAAAGTATGCAGCAACATTCCAGGCAAATACAAAGTCAACTTCTGAAAGGCAGCAGGCCAGTTTGATTTTTGTCCTTGATGAAGCTTGACCACAATGATTTCTCCTGAGTTCAATTATTTCATGCATTTTCAATGTGCTTTGTAATGTATTGCTGAAGAGGAGTATGTTTTTGTCCTTGTTTGGATACTACCTCAAGGATAACAAACTTCATGCCTCTCAAGGAATTTGATCCATCAGATTGTATAGTTTTAACCAAGAAAGGTTACTTGCTCCTTATGTTTTTGTTTGTGGAATTGACCTTCTTGTAACAACAAATAACTGGTGTTGAGCAACATGCTGTAAAATTAGCGTTTAAACTAAAAAAGATAAGTGTCGAGTTTTCAATACCTAGCTGATAGGCACTCATTCATTACTACGTCATTACAGAATGTCGTGGAAAACGACGTTAACCAGACCATTGCGGAACTGATCGCTGCGAACGCGGTCTCAGAAATGAAACCCGTAGCTATAATGACGGACTTCAAGACATTCGAGTTCTTTTAAACCGGCCAGGCAGAAGATAGCTCTATCTCCGTTTCCAATGCGAATTTTCGAGTCTATGGCACTAAATTTAAAGGCGTACACCAAGCCGCTTCATTTACGCGGATGCTGCTGAATCCCCAACGACGTTCGCTGACTGCAAACGTTAAAAATCGTTTCCCTTTCGATGTGGAAATTGAAATAATTTTTGGTGGTACCACATATGATGAGGATACCGGCAACCTTGACGATTTCGAAATTGAAATGAATGCATCTGAGCGTGCCTCGTGGAAGATCACAAAGATGCTCCGAAATATCCTACCATATTAATATGTACCTCCTGTCTATAGTGAATACCTCAGTACCGAGGTTCCGTATTTGTCAATATTCACTTTGGGCATGCATGAGCAGTTATGAGAACAAAAAAATCAGCCTATTCACAAGCATATCTGAAACACAAATTCTACAAAGTTTTCGTTCTTATGAAATATATAGCAAATAAACCTACACAAATATCAATGTCTGTACCCCCTCTTGAAATTGCTGGCTTCTGCCGTTTAGAAATCTGCTGGAAATCTAATACAAGTGAAACTCGATAAGCCGAAGCCACACTAAGCCGAAATTGCATTAAGCCGAAGTTTTTTTGATTTCCCAAAATTTTATTATAGCTTAAGCCGAAATTAATTAGTAAATTCGCGATAAAGGATAAGCCGAAGATTTTCAGCTAACCGAC